CACTGGAGAAGGACAATGACTCAGTGTTGTGTTTAATGCCAGTATTAGTGGTACAAAAATGGAATTTTGATGTTATTAGTCCGTGACCAGTGTCAGAAAAATAATTGAATATCATCTCTGATTTATGTTGCTTACTACCATGTACCTTAGCTACCATCTTTGTAATGAAATGGAATTACTGAGGGAACTTCATGGACACTTTATAGGAAACTTGTAAAGCCTGTGGGGGAAAAATGCAGGCCAGGTGATGATAGCAAAATTTATTACCTGAATCTATTCTGCTAAGAGACTAAATTTCAGATTCATATTCCACTTAAAATTCATGTGATACAATCTCTATATGACCTCTCTAAAGAACAAGAGCCTCACTTCTTTATGGTCTTATTAATGCCATTTATTAGGGAACTCTTAGGAAGATTAGATGAATTGCTGCCAATGGACTGCTTTTGAGGATTCTAGATACGTATATATGAGCAAATGCTGGTCTCTTCCTCTACCTCTTCTTCCTCCTTTGGACGTTTTATATACACACACTTTAATCATGAGCATAGCTTGTGTGTATGTTTCTAGTTCTAGTAATAAACTTGAGGAGGAAAAATCAATTATATGTGTAAGGTGTACACATAAGAAGTACGGAGTAAATCATATTTAGTTTACAATAGAGACAGGGAGATCATGAGAATTTTGCATTATAGATGCTTAGGTATGCAATCCTCATCATAGCATAAGGTATCAGGAACAAGACAGATTGAGAGAGGAGTCCTTCTTTTACCTATTTTTGCACTTGAGACATAAGACAAAGGCAGAGCAGCCAAGGAGGGCTGCACAAATAATGACAGAAAAACAAATTAGAGAATGAATACTACAGTCAGATGAGTAACATTTAGTATTATTACATAAACACTATTGTAGCTTCAATTCTCCACATATGTATTAACATGTATTCAATCAGGAATGTTTACTTCAGATTAAACCATTCCAGGCAATATTAACAATGATGCCCAGGAAAGCATCCTGATAAACATGGTACTCTGTAGCTCTGCATTGACAATTTATGAACCCGGTATCATGTGATCAAGCATTTGTCTATTTTTAATTTGCTTTGCTTTTCTTTGATATTAATTTTTAATTTATTTCACAAAACAACCACAGTTTTACATCCCCCCTCTCTTCCCATTGCAACCTCCCATCTATCCCCCTCCCCCACCATCAGCTCCTCCTTCATGAACCGGCAGGCCTCCCATGGGAGTCAACAAAGCACTTGTCTTAGAGTGTATATTATCATCTGTACGAAGTAATTATCTCTCTTGCTTCTTCACTTATCTTGTACCTGAGATTACTATGTGTGCTATGGTCCCAGAACAAACAGCTTATTTATTACTTCAGTTGCTTTTGTGAGAATGAGGAAGAAAATCGACTTTTGTCTGATGGACTTGTCTCTTGTTGTCTGGAGTAGTGATGGAGTCAGGTTTTGTATCAAAGTTCTTCTACCATACTTTGAGACATAGAAGGATTGGAAAGATTTAATTTCTTAGAGTGAAATATTGAATAGATAGATATGTTAGCAGTATATTTAGTAGATGTAATTTTTAAGCAAAGGGTAACTATACAGAAATTTTAAAAAAAGAGAAATGAAGCAAACACTGCCTTCCTAATTTTCTTCCCATTGGAGAAGCAATCTAAGTTTCTGTCCTCCAATATACCTCCCTTCTTTTCTATTCTCTTGGTTTTTTTCCTTCATTAATAGTATTGTTTTGGAATAAAGCACTAAAAAAATCATGTTCTAAAAATAGTGAGAGTACTTTTTTAAAAAATCATCACTTTTATTCTATATTTAAGGTTACCGCTATACAACAATTCATGCATTTTCATAGTTATAAATTTCTGGTCTCACTGACACACAATATTTTCATTGATTAAACTATCTACTCTTTAGTACAGTGTTTCTCAACCATCTTCATTCTATGACCCTTCAATACAGTTCCCCATATCATAAAATTATTTTGTTGCTACTTCATATAAGTAAATTTAGTACTGTTATGAATTATAGTGTAAATATCTGATATGAAACCCCTGGGAAAAAGTCTTTCAACCCACATTAGGGTCATGACCCTTGGATTGAGAATCACTGCCCTAGAAGCTTCTAAAATGATAAAGACTATTATTACTATTGCTACTGGTTGTCTCCCAGAGAAAGATGGTAAGACTCTATTGCTTAAGATGTTCCATATATTGGTTGCAGTATTTGGAGAAACAAGTCTAAGACTCAGATGGAAGTGTTCGGTCTCTTGTGTCTAGCTCTTGTGTCACTAGAAGGTGCTTCTAAGATTGCTAGAAAGAGCTATCACTGAGCATACTGCTTGATTGTGCTTGAAGGTGCTTCTAAGATTGCTGGAAAGAGCTGTCACTGAGTATACTGCTTGATTGTGCATTGTGCATGCTTCATGATGGAAATGGTAAACAACAATGTGGTACAAGCTTTGAAGAAAAAAATCAGATTAAAAATAATTATACTTCTATTGACAATAGATTATTCATATTAGGAATTCTGATTATTGTTTCTGCTCCTCCAACTCTTGCAGTTCCTCCTCATCTCCCGCTCACACAAATCCACAGCACCTCTTTCTTTCTAACATTAGAAAATAAACAAGAAATTAAAAATAAAGACTCAAACAAAGACAAAGAGTTATGAGATTAAAACCCCTCAAAAATATCATTGAGTTCAATTTGTGTTGTCTTTTTATGACTTGGGTATGAGATCCACCTTAAATGAGGTTTGTAAACCCAATGAAACTTCATAGGCAAAAACTAATTTTCCTTTGCAAACAGTTATTAATTGAAAATAGTTTTTGGTAGGAATGGGGGCCTTGTGTCCATTTCCCCTTTTAATCCTGAGAGGCCATATGGTTTAGAAAAGTGCCCTCTGCTACACTGTCTGTCAGTTACTATGTGCATCTGCCCTGTTGGTTCTTGAAGGCCTTTTCTTAGCGTTTTAATGTCACTGGCTCTTTATAGGCTTTCTACTTCATCTTTTTCAAATTATCCAAAGCCCAGCAATGAGGGCTTAGATGAGAAATGTCTCAGTAGGAAGGTGTACTTGTTCTTGAAGAGGGTCCAGCTTCTTTTCCCAGGAACCAAATGGACCACTCATAATTTAGAGCCACTCATAACTACAGTTCCAGAGCATCCAATACCATCTTCTGACCTCCTCGTGTATTATCCACACATATGTCTCACAGATGTACCTGTGATGCATGCAAGCAAAATCTCATACCTTAAAATAAAATAAATATAACTTAAAAATTAAATCTCTTAATAGACTTAATTCCAGCTCTACAAGTAGAAATTACTGCTGTTATTGGGAGCTTGGACAAAACCTGTGTACAGGACATACACAGCCCTCAGCAAAAAACCAGTTTCTATTGCCTTAGTAAACGAGTATGATGTGGAAGCTAAGGTGCTTATCAAAAATCTGTATTTATGAAAATAGATTATTACTGCGGTCAAGCAAATAACTCAAAGTTGTAGCCACTATGTATTTGAATGATTTATGCTAGTATTATTCGTGGTGCTTTAGATTTCGATTAGTGTGGTGGGCAGTGATCCAATACTTCTGACACTCCACTGCTGTAGAGCTATTGTTCACGAAATTCCTCCATCTTTTAGAGGAAAGCATGCTGTGAAGTAATGTTTTCTGCAGTAGTGGGATTTCAGGGTTATGGGACCAGAGCAGAGGCTGAGACATCATCAGTTGGGGAAATGGGAAGAATAGCCAGGGCATATCTCAGGATAAAGAATTGCTTCTTTATGTATGAATACTGGGTATGTTGGAACAACATTAGTGTGCCCACAACAGAACCCCTTGATTCTCAGAGGAATTTAAATTGAGCTTTAGTCACTTTATTTATAACTCATATAGTAACACCATTAGTCATTTATCCTTAATTGCTGAGTCCTGAGAAGGCTACAAGCATTGACATGTAGAAGAGATAAAAGACAGAAACATCAGAAAACCAAATAGAATTTAACTTCCCTGATTTGTGACATTAATAATTTGAGCATGAGTATAGGATACTAAATGTGTTGACTATGAGATGAGGTGTTGTTAAAAGCATAATAATATAGAACCATAAAATATACAGAATCTGTCTAAGATGGCATTATAGAGAATTAAGATTAAAAAGTTATTAGGGAAGTTCATAGATTTTTTCATGCAACTATCCTATTAGCCTATAGGATATTTAAAAAGTTATCGACTCTAAAAAACAACTACAGGCAACTGAGGAATGATGAAGGTCAGATAAACATTCTTCCCTTAGGAAGGCTGTCTAATACCAAATTCTCACTGTTTAAATGTATGTGTCAGCAAAGAGTGATATTGTATATATATATATATATATATATATATATGTGTATATGTATGTGTATGTATATGTACATGTGATAAAATTTAAGGAAAAAAGGTGGCCATGAAAAGAATATGACAATGCATCAATGCTTGGAAGAAGAAAAAATGGAGAAAATTTGTAATTACAAGTGCGCGCGCGTGTGTGTGTGTGTGTGTGTGATGTGCTTAACAATGGTTCAATAGTATAACAATTATATTGTCTGTGATGAGACTTACAGAAATTGGGCATTGCTCCAGGTTTGTATTCATAAATTTCCATCTTCTTGGCAAAAAGGGTCTACTAAATACTTTATGCTAAGCCATCTTCACTTATTCTGACCAATACAAGTACTCTTTCAACTTTCGTAAACTAAACTTGATCATGGAGACAATTAGCTATAAATATCCCAATATAATTTCTAAATTATGCATTAAATACCCATGAAACATTGACAAATCCTCATTTTTTCAACTTTTTCAAAGAATCAATGTTTCTTTTTGAATTGGACACTCATTAAACCTAAGAATGCACAAAAGAGGTAGAGATTGAATAGAGCTTTGAAGGTTTGGATTATGAAGAACCTTCTCAGTGACAGAAAACATGAATGTGAGTTCAGCAGTTATTGTCATGGACATCTCGGCACTTCAAGACCTTGAGATAATTATCAACCTTGTGTGTATCCCTGTGCACACAACGGTGCAAGTTACTAAGAGCAAAATAGCGAGTGGCTTCATCAGATGACTGCAAATCTGACCATCCATTCCAGAAAGTATAGTCATTTTCAACCACTCCAGGATGAAACTAAATACAGAAAAGAAGGGGAAAGGGATTATTATATTATTAACATTGCTTTTTCACATTAATTTCTTGCATATGTGCAGGAATGCATGCATATTACTAGGAGATTAGAAATCAACATTGTTTAAACACTCACTACTGACTTCTATCTTTCTCTGTTTTTGTTCTCTTGAGACAGCTTCTCTTATTTTGAAAGAATCATGAGTGATCTCCATCATTCTGCCTTTGTAATGTTTGGATAAAAGAAGTAGTCACTACATTTTAAAATTTTTATGTGGATTCTGGAATTAAATACATTGCTGGCAATGAAGTCATTCATAACTAAGCCATTTAACTAGGCTCATTCTGTAAAACTAATAAAGATTATATTATACTGCATAGAAAATTTATTAGTATAGGGAGGGTTTGTCAAGTATATGGGCTAAGGCATAATGACGACATTAGGACTCTAAAAGGAAACATCATATGGGAATACATATGATATATTCTTATATGTCATTGGTCTCAGAAAAGATATATCCATCCAAGCATAGACTGAGTAAAAAAAATCTGGAAAATATTTGAATGGTATGCATGCATATGACAAAAGGTTGATTAAAGGCTGACACTTTCTCTGCAGATTCCGCAGGCATCATTCATTCATAAGGATTTAGACACAGTGGTTTTATTCTCCTTTCTTTAAACTCAACCTGTTCCTCATATAGTTTAATCTTCCAAATCCCATGGAACTATCAAAAATTTCCATAGGTGTGTTATAGTTTCTTAGTTCCAGGCAGTACCATTGTATGATTTTCTGAGTTAGTTAGAAATATCGATCCCTTCTATGAAAGCTAATCTCTGTGTTAATATGAGGACCAGCTACTTTCTATTGAGAGTACTGGTGTGTGTGTGGTTCTCACAATGTGAGGTGCACTCTCACCCTGAACTCTTGGGGAAGGGTCTAGGCCCTGCCCTATATGAAATGACAGACTATGGACACCCCCAGGGAGGGCCTCACCCTCCCTGGGGAAATGAGGGGATAATGGGGGGGGTTGAGGGGAGGGCACAGGAGGAGGGGAGGGAAAGGGAGAGGGACCTGGAACTGACTTGTGAAGTAACCTTGTTTCTTATCTAAATTTAAACTGAAAAAAAAAGAACCTGAAGAAGATAGAATTTACAAATGGCCTCTCCTTACAGGCAAGCGTACAATGAATTAGGTGTATATTGTGCTTTGTGTGTGTGTGTGTATCTGTGTGTGTGTGTGTATACATAATATATCTCAGAAATGAAGTATTGAAAATTTACATCTCATCAAACAAATCACCTCTTCCACATAGGAGATAAGGAAAGAAATGTGAGGAGTGAATGGGCTTACCCTATTGAATATGGTCTTCAGTCCCTCCAGAAGGCCTAAAACTCTTTCCTCCAACTCTTTTGCTCTTGACAGCATGACATCAGATGCATCTGGAAGAGCAGCCACTGCAGCTACCATGTGCTTCAGAGGCTCCTCCCAGGCTTGTAAAACACTGATGGTCATTTTCAGGAGATCTTCCAACTAAACAATCATGAAGAATATCTCATTAAAATAAGTGAAACACATCACTTAATACATGTGGTGGCTGAAAGAAGATCATGAGTTCCAGCATTGATTCATTTTTAATAAGAATGTTAAAAACCTTCATTTCAATATAGGAATAACAATATTCTGTCACAGAATTATATTTTTTTCCCAAATGGAATCGTTGTTTTCCTTAACGATGTTTTCTGGTGAATGTCAAACTGATCATGTTTTCACTGAACATTCTACTGTCTGTAGTAAAGATGAAATTAGTTTACTTGATTGCTTCTGTTGTCCATGGAAAACCAAAGTTTGTTTGAACACTATAGGTGTCTATAGGACTTTACTAACATAAAAAGATGTCTAAAATCAGTGGTCAGATTTTCACAATCATGAGACAATTGCTCATTAATATATGTACATGTGCTCTATCATTGTAGAATATTAAAATAGAAATATAAGGAAAGAAAGAAGACATTCAGAATTATAATGGGCTCAGTATATATTACTTCTCTTTGCTTCTAGCAGAGCATCCCATTTTTTCTCAGGTACTGGAGAAGAAAAATAGCTCAGTGTTGTTTTAATTCCAGCAAAGAATGTTGACTTTTTAAATGTGTGCTCATTTTCAGAAAATATATGAATATCATGGCACCATTTCTGTTTGCTACTGTCCTAGTAATGAAATAAAAATGAAGTGTAAGAGAAAGTCATGGTCATCTTATAGGAGATATGTAAAGCATGTGAAGGAAAAACTTGGGCCAAAATTGATAACAAAATCCATTGCCTGAATCTTTGCCACCTAAGGATTAGGATTGAATGTTTTAAGTCAGTAAATCTTGGATTAATGTTCTACTTAGGATTCATGTGATGTAACATCTATATAAGCTCTTGGAACCTCAGTTTTTATGGTGCTAATAATACCGTGTATTAGCGAACTTTTGCTGGGAATTAGATTAATCAATGTCAATGGACAGCTTTTTGAGTATTTTAGACAAGTAGATCTGAAAAAATGGTCACATTTTCCTATATCTCCTCTTCCTTCATTTACTATTGTCATACTCACACTTATTCCTGAATTTGTGTTGAGGTTTCTGGTACTAGTAATGGATATGAAGCAGAAAGAGATTTTATGTGTGATATATGCCCACATTCAAAGTTTAGTGTAAAATTGTTTTCAGATTATCACACAGACTAGGAGAAAATATTTTATAATAGTTATATGTTATAGGTACTAATATACTCAATTCTCATCATATCAAATGTTATCAAGGGTAATATAATTTAGGCAGAGAAGCCCACTTTTAAGTTTGTATTCACTTGAGATACAAGAAGAAACTGAGTAGTTGTGGAGATCTTCAAAAACAATGATGAAACAGAAGTACAGCTAAGAGAGTTTTTCAAAGGAAAAAGAAATGAATCATTAATATGCTTCCAGAGAAGAGCTGATGATGATGATAATGATGATGATTTCATAAACACTACTGGATCTTCAACTTTTCTACACATATATAAATGTATGATCAACCTGGAAAGTTATATTAAATCTTACAGGATATATTAAGAATAACCCCACAGGAAATATGCTGTAAAAACATGGTGCTCTGAATGACCAATTTATTAGCCTATCATATGAAAAAGCATTTTTCTTACCCTGAAACCATCATATACTATTATTTTTGATTGTTCTTCCCTTCTCTTGTCTCTCATTATCACACCTGCCAAGGCCGCAGTAACCACACACAGCACAAATACACCATACATTACTTCAGTTGTTTTTGTGACAACCAGGAGGAAACCTACTTTTGTCTGGTGGACTTGTTCACTGCTTTCTGGAGTAAAGATGGAGGCAGTGTGGCAGGTGCTTAACATCAGGTTCTGTCTCCTAACAAACTTCGTATTCTAGAAGAAAGGAAAAGTTTTCTTTCTATGGGATACATATTGAATGAATACAGTTATAACCACATCAGTAATGAATTTTGTAGATGTAAATTATTATAACAAATGATAACTAAATATAAGTGAAAACGAATGAATGAAGCAAACACTGTCTGTCTAACTTTCTGCACACTAGATAAGCAATAGAATTGCCTATCTTCTAATATTCTTCCCTTCTCTTGTATTCTCTTGTTATTTCCCCTGTTGTTTGGAAATAAAGCACTAACAAAATGCTCTGTAAACTTTGAGTTTAAATATCACTTTTTTGGTGCATTTAAATTTTGACTCATGATTGGTTCTGTTTTAGAAGTTTGATTTTCTGATTTCCCCATCATAATAGAAACCTGAAGGAAATATACTACTTACAAATTCGATAAAAACTTTTGAAGCAAGATCATGGGTGTAGTGTGACAGTTCAACTACACGTTGGTATAGGCTTCCAGTGATCATTTGGGAGTTTGGTGATGAGGTCACACGTTCCCAAAGGAATAGATTTGACACTGCCAGCAAAATAGTCTTCCAGCTATAAAGAGAAGTAATACTGAGATGACCTATTCTTAAGAAGTAACATTAGTGATGTTTCGTAGGATACACTGTTCAGAGTTTTCTGTGCTACAACACTTGGTTCTGTACAGATTGAGTCTGGAATAATTTAGGCTAATGAGAAGACACAGGTGGCAAGTGATGTTTCTCCCATCTAGATTGAGAAGTAGAAGAATTCTTTCAGCCCTGGCTTTCCTTAGCAGAGTGTCTCAACTTTGTAAACATTTTAACTGAGATTAATCCTGAGTCAAATAATTCAAACCATTCTCTAAATATTTTGAAAGACTGGGCATTTATGTTTTTTTTTACTTCATTAAATCAATTTTAATTAATCCATTAATTACTTTTTCTTACAAATACTACTTGAAACTTAGGATGACTTGTTAAAACATGCCTACATTTCCATTTGCATATACCAAATTGGTAAAGTTACAAATCGAATGTCATTGTCTAAGGTTCCAGAGCCTAAGTCCTCCTGAGGTGAATTTATGAAAGCAGAGAAATATATAAGTTCTCGCATTCCATAATGTTATTTTCTCCTTCTGTGACTGACACAATTAGAATATTGAATCCTATGTTTTTAATACATTTCAGTTTCTCAATTTCAGCAACAAGACCATTTTTTATTGTTCTGTTTCTTGTTCTTTGAGAAGTCTTGAGGCTGGAAGTTGGCTATTAGCACATGTTCATTAGAAACCCATAATAGTGCACATTTTTGTCCTCTTTTCAAAACATTAAAATAATAAACAACTTCAAAATGTCTATGGACATTGTATTTGTATGCTTCCAGGGCAAAGAGGGATTCCTCTAGAGAATCATTGATCTCAAGATTGATTCAGCAACTGTCACAATATTAATACTCAGATCAATATTGTCTTGCATTCTGGTGAGTCATGAAAATCAACAGTTCTCCAAATACGAATAAGAAGAAAGACTCAATTCTATCCAAACCATTATTGTGAAATGACACTCTAATGAAACTTAGAGTATGAATGAAGTGCTACTTACAGAAACATGGTAGAATCAAAGACAGCTGCATTTATGAGAAGTTCTTCTGCAGTGTGGACTACAATACAAGAATGTTGCTCTATCTGAGAGCTGTCTTCCATCAACTTAATGCCTTCCATATATACTAACAGAGTCTTCCAAAGGTAATGCAGGTCAGCAGGCAGAAAGAAGTAATGTTTTTGTTCAGGGAAACGTTTCATGACTATTTCTCCTAAGGAAATAGAAAATATACCTTACTTTTGACACAGTTTATCCCTACATGCATTGCTTTGCATTTTGCAAAAATGTTCAGGGTTCAAATTATTTTGGAAATCACAAAAGTCATCTGAGTTCAATAATGACTAAGAGTCAGATCAAACAGGAAAATACATTTATTTCCTTATACCTTTACTCTAGGTCAGAGGCCTATATTCTTTCTGTCATGTCATACATTAAGTTTCCTTAGTGTTTCAGATGGTGACAAAAGCCCTCCACCAACTCGTATTTTTGCTTTGGGCTGGCATATTCTAGCAACAGTCAATTAGTAACATTTTATCAAAACATGGATTTCTGTCTGTTACCAGCAAACTACAAAAAGTTATTTTTCAAAAAGTAGATACTGTTCTGGTATTAAGTAAGCAGAAGAACAATTTTTGGAAAGGAATTTTTATAGCCATATAATATGCACTTACAAAAGGCTATGGTACTTACATAGATGATGCTCATGACTTTCTCACTGACAGGCTTTTGCAATGTTTTACACTGTATCACATGGATTGCCTCCTATATTGTTAGCTTTAAATCACTTTAGTATATTATTTCTTGTAACCATAACTCATTGACACTATAATAACTGTGTAGGTACATTACCTGGTTTCTGATAAATTTACCATATAGCTGAATTAAAACACTTGGTGATGACAAACTTCTACAGATTGTAAAGCTCTTATTGACACTAAGTAAACCATTCCTTGCTTTGGATATTTGAGGTTTTTAGAAGCCTTGATTTTTCAGTCATTGAATCAAGGAATACAGTGTCATAAATAACAGTGTTTACTCATTTAAGTCATTTGTGCTACTGAAACTTTGTTTAAGTAGGATTCTTCTTTGAGCAGTTTTTCAAATGCTAGTAGGAAAAAATTTAACCTCTACACTAGGCCACTATTCAGTTAACTTCTAAGAGTCAGAAACTGTAAAGTTCAGTGGTGGGTACATGCTGATCAATTAACTTTTTGATACATTTTCCTGAATCTTTTCCAACTGAATTTAGCCATGTACAAGAAGCATTATATCATGGAACATTTGTGGACTAGACTTCTTCAAAGCTTAGGAATGCCAAGGATGAGATTCTGTAGGAGAAATAACCAAAATGATTTAAAGATGTGGTAGAATTAAGAAGAGGTCTCAAGACTTAAAAAGGATTGGATGCTCACTACAATATTTACACCTGGGTAATAGATTGGGTTCTATTTAGTTGTCTGTGTACTGCCTTCATTCGATCACTACAATATTTACACCTGGGTAATAGATTGGGTTCTATTTAGTTGTCTGTGTACTGCCTTCATTCGACCTGAGATGGTTTCCTTATGCTGGCATCTTCCATGATGCTGACTGGATGTACTCAATTGTGTTGCCCAGAACATTAAGGGAGCAAGTAAAACAACAGTCCAGCTTCTCTCATTGCGTTTCTAGATAGCTTAGGTGTTCTAGATGTTTATGGGTTCGATATTAGGGTACCAGATGGTTTGGTAAATACAGGGTCTTAATTGTCTCAATGCTTATCTCAAAGGGCTCATGGAGTCAACAATTTCAATTCTGACATATTCATAGTAATTCAAGCGCCATTTCTAGTTTACGCTCAAGCAATAGCACCAAATGTGGCATGAGTCATAGGTTTACACATCCCGTTCACCTTCAGTGTACTTATTTCAAAGGGGAGAAATACACCGGGCATGGTAATGTAGAGATAATTTTGAATCCTTATGATCTGCCAAATTTCAACACAAATATTTTATCCTTTGCTTCCTGTGATTTCCTTGATCAACCTTTCACCTCTCTTCCTGTCCGTCTTAACTGTTTGCATATTCAGAGAAGCCAAACTTCTGCTTTAGACATTATTCTGTAATTTAGTTCTGGTTGGAGGCATTAAGCTATAAACACAAATAGTAATCTCCACTTTTTGCCCACCAGATTGTTACCTTTCCATTGAAAAGTTTTTCATGTTTCTCAGCTATGTAACATTTGCTATCCACAACTGACCTACAAAATAAGAAAAGAAATTTCTGTTCCCATTCTTATGTAAGAAAAGAACTCTGCAAACACAAGAGTATTAATTTCCTACAAACAATCACATGTTTCTATAGTAACAAATAGAACATTCTGGGCCACACATGTCTTTTTTATTTTCTTTTTTTTTTTGTTTGTTTTTTTAAATTTAATTTAAATTGGAAACAAGTTGGCTTCACATGTCAAACCCAGCTCCCTCTCCCTCCCCTTCTCTCCCGCCCCCCTTCAGCTCTCCCCCAACCCCTCCTCTAATCCCCACTCCACTCTCCAAGGAAGATAAAGCCCTTCATAGGGAGTTTCGAAAGTCTGTCAAATGATCTGGGCCGGGCCCAGGCCTTCCCAGATGTGTCCAGGCAGAGATAGCATCCCTCCACATGTAACGGGCTCCCAAAGTCCATCTGGATGATGGGGCTAAATGCTGATATATTACCTGAGACCCCCAAAGGATACTGAGGCCTCCTCAGTGACACCCATGTTCAGGGGGTCTGGATCAGTTCCATGCTGACCTCTCAGCTCTCAGTCTGGGGTCTATGAGCTCCCCCTTGTTCAAGTCAGCTGTTTCTCTTAATTCACAGGAAAGGACATGTTAAGCCAATTCATAGTCCTGCATGGATATGATGAATTCCTTGCAATAAGACATTTGTAAACGTAGGATGCCTGGAGAAATTGTACTTCTCTCTCCATTCTTTAAAGAATTAGGTTAAGAAAACAATGAAATTCATGTTTCTTCTACCTCTAAATATTTTGCATGATTTTATGAAAATCATAAAAACTCACACTATGGGTATATGGGTCCATCTGTCTGCTCATAGACATTTTTCTTTAAAACCTTCCATCAAGACTCTCATGGTGAACTGGCCCCTGTGATTGGAATACAGGAAGTTGCAGCTGTTGGTGAGGCTTTCACATTTATATAATGTAAATTGGATAGGCAGGTAAGAAGGATTTGAGGAATCTTTCAATTTTGTTATTATCCTAGTGTTTCTAGGTCTTTTGTGTGTGTGCTTTAATAGTGTATACATAAAGACAGAGTATAGGGTCAAACCTTGTCATTTTTAAGAATTATTTTAATTTCACTTTTAAAAAGTTGTTTTAGTGGTCTGAATCTCATAAATTGGGTAAACTAGCTGGAGTGTGACCCAGGATCTTCCTGTGACTATTGCACCAGGGCTAGAATTCAGATATATGACAGCATTGCAGGCATCTATCTGTACTTCAGTTTTAGATATCAAAATTATGTCATCATGATGACAGGAAAGCAGTTTAACCAAAGATTTATCATCTTGGCCAGCTGGTGGTCATATGAAGAATGCTCTGATTGTTGAATTTCATGATTTTCATAGTTACAGGAAGTGCTACAGGGTTGTTCTTTATTTTGTTCTCTTTGTGACAATTTGTAGTATATGTACATTCCACAGTCAACTGGGCCATTGCTTATGCAGAAGTTTGCCATGAGACAGGAAATCTCAGCACTTTCCCTTTGGATTTTAAATATCCTCTCTGACCTTACTCTGACTCTGCTTGGTTTTAGCTTGTCTCCTTATTTGTGTGTCAAAACCTTGTGGCCTCATCTGAGATAAGTTTACTGTTGTAGAGGTTAGGAATCTTACCCTTTGTTGCAACAGTTTCCTCTGGGATTAAACCTTCCATCTTGGAGGGAAGCTTCTCATGATTGTCAGTTGTTAAAAGGGGAGATGGTGAAGTACATGGATTCTAAGGGAAAGAAGCATTCCATCATGCAGGAAGGTTCTTTATGTTCCTGGGGAGGAAAATACCTGAATATATTCAGAGTACCTGCACTTGACTAAGTTAATTAGGTCTATTTAATCCCACGCATGTGTGAACTGTAAGAGTGTTGAGAGACACTCTCCAACTTGCAGTACTGTGTGGAAGAAACAGAGACCATCTGTTATCTGGAAGAGGCTGACCTGATCTTATCTGCTTGAATAAAAAGAAAAGAGAGAGACCTTTGGAGCTGCACTGAAGCCTCAGAGGTCAGTTGCTGCCTGAACAGGCTGAGACCAATAAGGATTCTAACTTGTTGAGTTATGTCCAAGTTTTATAGTGTGCTCTAGGTTTCCAGGTTCTGCAAACAGTTATCCAAACTATGATGTGCTATTGGTTATGTAGCTATTTTTAAGATATGTTTGGCATGTAAATATGTCTTTGCTCTTATTCCTGTAAGTGACCCTAACAAATTAAATGCTTCACCAATTTGAATTTCTTGGTGTGATTTCTTTGGTCCGTCACAGAATCTGAGTCTGGGGTGAATGGTGCATTTGTTGTTTTTCTTTTTTTCTTGTTTTTTATTGATTTTGCATTTCTGATGTATGTATATGTTTGTACTCATGTATGCTGTGTGTGTGTTTCCACTAGATGTAACACACACACACACTCACACTCACACACACACATACACACACACACACACACACAAACTTCCCATGTAAGTTCTGCCTGTGCAGCCTGAATAGTGTATTTGTACATCACCCACCATGGGATTTACCAAGGTCTCCCTCACGCCACATACCGTAACAAGAAATGCTTTCATATTTTTAATCCACAATATAAATTTACTTGAGTCTTAGTTCTCCTGATAATAAAGGAGGATACAATGAGTTTATCTTTCATTCGCATGTGGATAGATGATTCTCTCACCTCTTGGGAAAGAATGTTTGGATGCAATGAAGATGATTCATTGGACTCAAGTGTGGAAACACACACACACACACACACACACACACACACACACACACACACATAGATATAGTATATAATCATTTCCCCGAATGTTTCATAAGACAGGGCCTCTCATCCGGACTTGAACTTGAGGTTATAAAAGGGCTAGTTAGCACCATATTGTTGATACATAGAATATGGAGAAATAAATTCTGTATTAGCATAAAATGATCATTTTTCCTGGATATCTTTCATGTTGCTGGAAACTTTGATTCATACTACTAGAGATAAAATACATCAAAAACCTGAAAATATGAATCATATCCATCATTGCAATAGTGGTAGGAGTGTTAAGTAGTAACATTGTGGTTAGACATTTTGCCTCTCCATAATATGGAACTCATGCCAGGTTCCATTAGCCAGACTGAAAACCTGATGCTGGTAATGTTGTAGATTTCAGAGGAGAATGTAATATTAATATATTGCTAACTTGAAATACTAAGGCAGTGTCAGTTATTACAGTTATTGTGACGAATTAGAGCATGTCTCACCCCTTATCGGAGAACTTCTTTTTCCAGCATATGATGATTCAGACAAAAGCAACAGCTGATTAATGTGCAGAATATAAGAGACTGAGTGTTATCTAATTTAAATGGATCACCTGTATCAAATAATCTACACACAAAGCTCAGGAATCATCAGGAAAAAAGGCTCAAATGATTGGCTGGCAGAGGCAATGGACAACTGCATAGAGTCATTATATCCAGGACTTGATAGGGATATAGCATTTAAGAATTCACAGCTGTTTAAGAATTCATAGCCTGCATGAATAAGACCTACACAAATGCAAGCAATGCAAAATCTAGGTGGATAGAGCCATGAAACCCACATTGAATTTAGACAGCATTAGCTATTAGTTTGAGTGAGAGGCAATGAATTATCTTCAATGATGGTGACCCTAAGATGCTAACCATACTCTTGCCACACAAACAGCACTCACTGAACTCACATGAACATAGAGGAAAGTGGTAGCTGGGTAGAAAAGCCAATGGCAGAGAGGGATGGGCCATGTTTGGTGGAAAGATATTAAAGTTATTCCTGATGTTCTCCATTGTAAAAGCTTTGCCTATTGGTTCCTATTTGCTATGAAGCTGTAAAACTTCTTCAGGGAATATGACTAAGAATCTGACCACCTGGATTTGACCAGACTCAGAAAAAAATGTTTTTATCTATGAACAAAAGGAAGGCTAGGAAATGCTTATATATTCTTTCTGAATGTAGACAATATTGTCACTTTGAATTAAAATTTTACCCAAATTTATATAACAGGACCAACTAACTTCCTTTTCTTATCTGAAATTGGATACATTTTGATAGTGGATTAAGTGGTAAAATGATTTTAATCTAAATATTTTACTGCATTTACTTGTATTTACAAGTATGTGTATTTGTTGAATTTGTTAAAGCCTTCCATCTTAGAGGAAAAATTCTTAAGTAGGAAGTAAAAGTAAGTATGTATAGAACATATACAGACAAGTAAAACAAGGGGATGCTCTATGGGGAGAAGAAACACTGCATTATACAAGAAAGTTCTCTTAGCTCTGGAAGCAAACTCCTCAAAATAGCTTCACAAGTGCCTGAAGTTGAAGAGATTCATTAAGCCTCTCCATTCTCAAAAGTATATATGGAATAATGCTTGCTAAGAATTATTCTAAGGTGAGTCAAGCAGTACAAATGATAGAGACCTTGGGAGCAACCCGGAAGAAACAAGAAAGAGGCAAAGAGCCTACAATTAGCATAGATAATCTAAACAGCACAGAAAAAGTGAAGACCAATTGAGTTTTCAGAAAAGGATCAGACTGATTGAACCTCCCAGAAAAGTCAGGCTATTGCCTGTTGAGTTGTGTGCTGACTGTGTAGTGTACTCCTGGTTTTCAGCTTTCATTTGGTATCACATATGTCAGGGTACAACTGGGTGATGTATCTGTCTTTGGGCCATTTCTACTCTAGTACCTCTCTCTCACCCATATTCTTGTAAAATCACAATAAAATTCATTGGTTTACCAAGATGAAATCAGTCAATATCTATTATTTGATCTGTCCAGGATCCTCTGTCTGGAAAGAATGGGAAGAGTGGATATGTATGTGTGTATTATTTCCCAAGGACTCCCTAATCTTACAACATATTGCAACCTAAATGGGATCCTCTAACCAAAAATGAGTTGGGCAACAGTGAATGTGTGGTTCTAACTAGGGTTAACCATGTATGCAACTGAGTGAGCACCGCAATGAAGAGCACTGTGTCATGCAGCTATCTTTCATGCATGGTCTGTGTTTTTTTGTGAATTTTTTTGATGAGACAGAAGTTTCATGGTAGTGAGCCATGTAACATTCATGTTCCCTAACAGGATGCAGAGTGTTTAAAAAAAGTCTCAACCTTATACTAAGAACAACATGGAAATAAGGAATACTAATGGTTAGAAATTGTTCAATACTGGAAACATGAACTAAAGTAAAACTATACAGAATGAATATATATATATATATATAAAACAATTAATGAAGGAAAGAGGCCACAAATTTGAAAGAATGCAACAAGAGAATACACAGGACACAGGGCTTGTAGGGAGGAAAAGGACAGGAGAAATGTAATATAATCTCAATATGTTTGTGCATATTATATATAGGTGTGCATGTGTGATGTGTTTAATGTTAATATAACAATTGTATTGTGTGATGAGACTTTGAGAAAGTACTCATTGCCCATGGTTTGTTTTCATAAACTTCCATCTTCATGGTAGAATAGATCTACTGCTTACTGGGAAATTCTTGCTCTGGTTCTAATACGTCAAGTCATCCATTCATTTTGACTAATAGAACTACTCTATTGACATGTATAAACTAAAATTATTTTTGAAAAATATTTAATATCATTACTAAATTCTGCATTAAATGCCCATGGAACATTGACAAATCCTCATTTTGAATTAAGCATTTCAAAGAATCAATGTTTATTTTTGAATAACATGCCCATTAAACCAAGGAATGAACCAAAAGGTAAAGACTCAATGGAACTTTGAGGTCTGGACCTTCTCCATGACAGTGGTTAAGGATTTGAGCTCAGCAGTTGTTATTATGGATATCTCGGCATTTCAAAACCTTGAGATAATTATCAACTTTGTGTGTATCCCTGCGCAGGCAACGGCCCATAGTATAAAAAGCAATGTTACGAGTAGCTTCATCAGATGACTGCAAATCTGACCATCCAGACCAGAAAGTATAGTCATTTTCAACAGCTCCAGGATGAATCTAAACATTAAAATGAGAGGGATTATTTACAGTTAATATTACTTGATAGTAATACCTTCTTGTACATGAGTGTGTGTGTGTGTGTGTGTTTGTGTGTGTGTGTGTGTGTGTGTGTATGGATGGGGTATACATTTGCTGAATCCATGCACCAACATTTGTAGATCAGAATGAATGTTGTTCAAACTTCCACAGTTGACTACCATATTTCTCTATTATTTTTGAGGTATCTTCTGTTGTTTTAGCAAACACCAGTCATCTCCATCTTTCTGTCTGCCTAATGTTTGAATACTACAGAGTAATCACTACATCTCTTTAGTTTTATGTGGATTCTGGGATCAAATTCCTCATGCTCAAGAAGGCATTTTTCCCCTGAGTCTTTAGCCTAATCCTCATCCTGTAAAAGTGACAAAGGTAGAAATTTTATTAATATAGAGTGGGTTTGTCATATATTATCTTGAATGCCTCTTAACATAAGCATATTTTCTGTTGTATCATTGGCCTTAGAAGAGGTATAGCAGTGGAGAATTAGACTGAGTGCTTGAGAAACTATAAGATATTTTTCATGGTATATATGCATTTGACCAAAGGATAAATAAGGGCTGATGTTTTCTCAGGTTATTCTCTCAATAATCATTCATATTTATGGGTTTGAGGAGAATATCCTTTTAATTTTCTATCTTTAAACTCAACCTATTCTTGATATATTATATTCTTCCAAATTCATGAGCATATCAAATATTTTCAAAATTGGAGTAAGGTTTTGGAGTTCCAAGACTGTTATCAGATTTTATGAATTAGTCAAAAGTATCCATATACCAATGAAAGTTACCCTCTGTGTTATGGTGTGGACCAGATACTTTCTATTGAGAGTACGTGTAAGTGTAGTTCTCAGTAAGGGGCATGACAAAGATAGGATTTCCAAATGGCCTCTCCTTATTGGCAAGGCTGTAAATGAATTGGATATGAATTTTTATATGTATATACATATAATTTGTACATACATATGTGCACATATATAACATATATTTACATAAAAACACACAAATACATACATGTATAATTTCATATATATATATGTGTGTGTGTGTTTGTGTATGTATCAGTCCCAGAAATCAAGTGTTGAAATATTTATTTCTCATGAAACAAATCACCTCTTCCACACAGGAGATAAGGAAAGGAATGTGAAGAGGGAGTGAACTTACCCTGTTGAGTATGATCTTCAGTCCCTCCAGAAGGCCTAAAACTCTTTCCTCCAACTCTTTTGCTCTTGACAGCATGGCATCAGATGTACCTGGAAGAGCAGCTACTGCAGCCACCATGTGCTTCACAGGCTCCTCCCAGGCTTGTAAAACACTGATCGTCACTTTCAGGAGATCTTCCGACTAAACAAGAATATTTCATTAAAATAATTGAAACACATCTGTGTTAGTATGCGTGGTGGCCGAAAGAAGTCCATGAGCTCCAGTATTGATTTATTATTAACAGGAATATAGAACATCTTCTAGCATATGATATGCGATACGGAAATAAAAATATTCTGTGACAGATTTATAATTTTCTCAAATAGAATTGATTTTTTAACAATGATTTCTGGTTAATGTCAAACTGATCATGTTTTGCTTTCACTGTATTTCCTATCATCTGTAGTCCAGGAGAACCTCAGTACTTTATGGTCCTAATAATACCACATATTAGAGAATTTTTGTAAGGATTAAATGAATCAGTAACAATGAATTGCTTTTTAGGGCTTGACTCTAAGAAGATCTGAGTAATGTTGACCACTTTGTATACCTATTGATCTTTTAATTGCCATTATTATTCTAACACTTTATTTACGAAAAGAGTTTGTGTATATGTTACTGGTTAGGGTAATAGCCAGTAGAAATAGATTATATGTGTGTGATGTGTACACATGACATTTTGCCTAAATAATATTCAGAAATTTTATGACAAAGACTTAGACAGAAGATGTTAACACAGTTTTACATCATTGGTACTGAGATATTCTGTCTTCATTATAGTATAGGTTATCATCAAGAATGTTTACATGAAATACATGAGAAGACTGAGTAGTTGTGGAAGAAGTCTTCATAAATTATAAAAAATAAAGTAAGACCAACAGAATCTTCACAAATCAAAAATAAATGAATCATTGGTCCTTAAATAACATTCCTGCAGAGGAGAGTTTAGCATTTTATCATAAACACTGCTAGATCTGTAACTCTTGCACACACATGTCAATGTATAGCTAACTAGGAATGTCCAAATCATATTAAAGCTTCCTAGATAATATTAAGGATAACCCTACTGATAATGTATTGTTAAAACATGGTGCTCTGAATTATCAATTTACTAACCTGCTATCAAGTGAAGGAGCTTTTATCTTAGAGAGAATTTTTCAACTATATGATGTCATTGTCTCTCACTTCTTCCCTTTTCTTGGCTCTAAGATTACCACAGGTGCTATTGCCCTCGTAACTACACACAGCAGAGCTACCCTGTGTATTACATCAATTTGTTTTTGTCAAAATCAGGAAAGAAACCTACGTTTGTTTGGTGGACTTGCTCTCTGTTTTCTGGAGTAGGAATAGAGGAGGTGTGGCAGGTGTATAACATCAGTTTCTGTCTGCAAATACTCTTACCAAACTTCATATTCTGGAAGACATTGAAAGGTCTCATTTTTTAATGTTAAACATTGAATAAATATATTTACAATCACACTAATAACAGATTTCCTAAATTATTTTTTCACAAAAGATAAACATATAGAAATCGAAGCAGAGAGTGAAGACTGCCTACCTACATTTTCTGTCCATGGAAGAAACAATCTAATTTTAACCCACCAATATACTCCCCCTCTTTACTATTAATTTTTGGTTTTGTCCTTCCTAAATAGCATTGTTTAGAAACAAAGCACTGAGTAACACAATTTTGTAAAAACACTGAGGGTTTAAGCATTTTTTCTATTTATGGATGTTAGGGTCATACATATGTGTGTTCATAGCTATGGTCCCATTGACACTCAGTAGTCTATTTCCTTTAAGATGATATTATACTGATAAGAACAGATACTACACTTGATCTTAGCCAAAAGGCCATGATTCAATGTCTGTATTTCACCATTAAATATATTGTTTTTGAAATTTGTTTCACAGTATGTTATTGTTAATTAGTTGACTTTTCTGATTATCCCTTTAGAAAAGGTCCAGTACTTACAAAGTCAGTGAAAACTTTTGAGGCAAGATCATGGGTGCAGTGTGACAATTCAACCACACGCTGGTACAAGTTTCTAGTGGATAAACGAGGACTTGCTGAGGAGGTCACATGTTCCCAAAGGAGAAAATTTGACATTGCCATCAAAAGGAGTGTCCCAGCTATAAATAGAAATAAAATCAAGATGATCCATTCAAATGAGGACACATTAGGGACACTAAAGGATGCACTGAGATCCTTGTGCTACAATACTTGGTTCTGTATACTTGAAACCTGGACTAAATTGTCCAATTTGAAAATGTAGGTGAATAGTAATTCTTCCCCAAATCATAGTTTATGAGGTAGGAGAATTACCTGGATTTTACTTGCCCCTATATAATTTCTAAAACAGTTTGAGATGAAATTAGTCCTGAGACAGTGTAGCACAAAAATAAAAGCCACAGAGTCTGATATCAAGGTTCAAACTTCAAGCTGAAGGTCAGAAAATCAAAGAAACTGGTCACAAGCTCTTACTATATCTCATACTGAAAGGCGATCCTGGCTCCAACAAATGCTAAATTGCCTCCTCTCCTCAGCATGGCTGGAGAATCCTGTGGCATCAATGTCTTCCTATCCTCAATGTGGCTGGTGGATGAATGCCAACACTGAGCCCTTGCTCCTGCCTTCTACACCTCTCACGAGTCCTGGGAATAATGTGTGGGATTCAAAGTACTGAGATCATCTTTGTGTGAGCTGTTTTTTCTTTAGGACTTATCGATTTTGTGTAGCTCAGTATGGCCTTGAACTAACAGAGATCCATTTACCTCTTAATCCTGAGTACTGGGATTAAAGGTATGTGCCTGGCTTATATGACATGCGACTGACTTTGCTTTGTGAATCTTCAGGCAAGGTTTAATAAATCATAAATAATATATAGTACTTAAGCCATTTCTTCTAATATTTTAGGTTTTGATAATTTGTGTTTATTTCCCATATCATTAAAGTTAAATAGTTTGCTAATACATTTCATGCAAATATCACTTGAATATTAAGATGACTTTTACAAACAAACATGCTTTTCCATTTACCATTTCTTTTTGCATGTGACAAATCAGTAAACTCACAAACCTACTCTTCTTGTTTAAGTAAGGTTCCAAAATCCAACTCTTCCTCAAGTAGATTTATTTAAGAAGAAAAGTGTTCAAACCTTGACAACCCATAATTTACTTCCTCCTTCTGTGACTGAAACAATCATGCCATTGAATCCTTTGTTCTCAAAATAGTTCACCCCCTCAATTTCAGATATTTGGCCATTTTTATTGTACTTTTTTTGTAGTTTTAAAAAGTGTCCTGTACAGCAGAAGGTGGCTAGAAGCAGGCACCCATTAGAGGCTTGTAACTCTTGTTCACTGTTATCCTTATGTCAAAAATGAAAAGAAAAATAAACAGTTAAAATAATATATAATGTTTGTGGATATTGCTTGTCATGTGTCTTCATAGAAGAAGGATTCCACTAGAGAACCTCTGACTTCCAGGTTAATTCAGCAACTAGTTTCAGAAAAATAATTAACAGCACACTTTTGAGTTGACTTCAGGTGAGTCAGAAAAATGCATCAGTTCCCCAAATGTTATAGCAATGATAACTTCAAAGAATGTATTCCACCCAAACCAATCTTCATGAACTAATACACTAATAAAGTATAGGAGCACGGATGAATTGCTACTTACAGAAGGACAGTGGAGTCAAAGGCAGCTGCATCTCTGAGAAGATGTGTTGCACTGTGGACTACAACAGAGGAAAGCCGCTGTAGCTGAGTGCTGTCTTCTTGCAACTCATCACCTCTTATATATTCTAACAGAATCTACCTATGGCCTTTTAAGTACTGGGACAGACGGGAGCTGTGTCTTTTGTCTAGGTAAAAGTTTCAAGATACTATCCACTCAGGAAGTTTTGAAATAATCCTTACTCTTGCCACTGTTCTGTCTCTATATGTATTATTTTACTTTCTGGAACCTTGTCCAGGGTTCAAATTATTTTGGAAATCACAAAAGTCTTCTCAGTACCTCAATGACTCAGAATCATATCATGGATTAAACATTTATTTCCTTGTACTTTTTCCTCTAGATCAGAGTTCTATATTCTTTCTGTCATTTCATGGGTCTTTAGGAGGTAACATATGCCTTTCATCAGTTATCGTTTGAGTTTGAGGCCAGCATGTCCTACAAACAGTCAGTTATTCTTAGCATTTTATCAAAATATGAATTTATTAATAGCCTCTAAATGCAAAAAACAATTCTCACAGAGTAGCTACTTTTTCAGTATTAAGTGTGCAGAAACATAAATGTTTAAAAGGCTCTTTTAATGCATCCATGGACTTGAAAGTATCTAGAGTGATGTTTTTCAAATGTGATAGTCACCTTGTACTCATCCTTTAATTTCGATTTGGCTTCCTTTTCTTAATGGTTTTGCAAGTAGTAAGCCACGAAGAGAATAGCATTATATTATGAAAAGTTTGCATAATGCTCTTGATATTGAGAACTTCTATGAATACTAAGAATAGTTGTATCAGGATACAATAAAGTAAAAAGAGATCTCATTTTTAACAAGGATGGAAATCTAAAGAATATTAATTTAACCTGACTGAGAGACTATTCTCGATTTAGTAGCCTATACTTTTTACTCAGTCTGCCTGAGACCTCTACCTTATGCTGTCATCTGGTGTGGCACTGAGTAAATAGGGTCAGTTGAAGTGTCACACATAGATCATTAAGTTAGCTAGTAAACCATGGCCTGTTCTGTTCTGCTATAACTACTGCCCCACTACCTTATGGGTTGGGAGAAGTAGTAGATGGTTTAGTAGGAACAGGCTGTTTAATGTTAAAATTTTCATCTCAAAGTGCCCAAGGATGAATCAGCAATTTCAACTGTACCATTTTCCATTTCTCCCAGTAATACAAGCTTCCTAACTTCCCAATTATGTAAGCTCAGCCTCAAGGATATTTCTCAATACGTGATGTGAGCCATATGTCTATGTATGTCATTCACCTTTAGTGCTCTTACATCAAATGGTAAAGTGCACAGAGATGCAGATATGCAGAGCTAAACTTATATCCTTATAGCCTGCTTAGTCTCAACACAAATTTTTTACTATTTGACTTCCAATGATGTCCTTCATGAACCTTTTCCTTTTTTCCTGACATCTTCTTTGCTTTTATATACAATAATCCAAAAACCTCTGCTACAGTATTCATAGTCCTGTATGTGTTCTACTGTAGGCAAATATATTCAGAGCATAGAGAGTATGCCCCCACTCCTTTGCCTGACTGCCAGGTTTTTCACTAACACATTTTTGTGTATCTATCAGCTATGCAGCAGGTAAGCTGTATAACTGATATCCAAAAGCCTGATAAGAAATTTCTATTATATTTCTATTAAGGGATGAACTATATAAATCCATGATGGGTCTATTTTCAGCACCCCACAAATTTTGTCTACAGTAGGAAACAGAAACAATATTTGCCCCCAGAAAATTCCAGTTAATCTCATTAATAATTCCACTTTGGTATGACCTATAATGTGCACTGTAAATTTTATAACTTGTTGGATGTCCATAGATAAGGGTGGAAGTAGAAAATTACATAATTCTCTATAAATCAAGTCAAGTGGCCTCTGTCGCTGGAATATAGGGCATTCCAGGTGTTGGTAGCCTTTCCCAGGTGCTATGACATAATGTGGAGACTGTCTGAAGAGGTCAAAAGAAGTGGGTACCTGCTTTAGTTTACAAAGTCTCTGTTATCTTTCATGTCTTCTGATATGTATGTGTTTTATTATTGTCTTCTCATGTATGATATGAAAACTATGTTGGGTCTTCTGAGATTAGATTTTTGTTATGGAAGTTAGGAAGCAAACCCTTTGTTGTAACAGTTTCCTGTGAGGTGAGGTTAACTTCCAGTCGTGGAAGGAAGCTTCTTAAGATGTCAGATGGTAAAATGTGAGGAGGTGAAACAACTTGGATTCTAAGGGGAGGGATACATTTCATCCTGCAGGGAAACCCATTATGCTCAGGAAATAACATTTCAGGTGCTTCAGTACATGAACCCAGGCAAATTAATTGGGAACCTCTTTCCAAACATTTGGCCACTGTAAGAAATGCTTAGAAACACTCTGACAGAATGAGCTGCCTAAATGACTGTCAGAACAGCTGCACATACTCTCAATGGTTTAACTGGAAGAAGCATACATGATCTGAACTGCTTTGAAAAAAAAGAAAAACAGAGGTTAGGTGAGGTCCCTAGAAAAAGCAAAATCCAAAGAGGCAGCCTGGAAAGGTGACTCTCTAAGCAGCTCAGCTTCCTGCAAGTTGTAGAGTAGGCTCCAGTAAGTTACCAGGTTTCTTGATCTGTGAGCCATGGTTGGGTGGAATTTGAATGATGTTTAAGTGAGAATAGCTCATAGTTTGTGTTCAAGATATAAACTAGAGTATATCACAAAATAATCTAGATAAATTGTTATGTGTATTGCCTTCCAATTTTGTCTATGGACTTTCTATCCAGTCTCAAGAACTCTATCTCAAGTGAATCATATTCTTGAGCCTCTACTAAAGTTTATAGGCCTGTCACAGCATTGCTTCATTTTTTGTAAAATAGCCAAAGACATTTTGACAAATTATCATTTTGAATTTGACATTTATAAAGAATCATTTTTATAAGAAGACACATGATAGCCAAGCATAGACGCAAAAGGTAAAAATTAGAAGAAGCCTTAAAAGTCTGATTCATCTAGGATTATCTCTGTATCAAGTTAAATGGATATGTGATTAGCAGTTGTTGTCATGGACAATTTGTCACTTCAGTACATCCAGATAACTGTTAACCTTATGAGTACACCTGAGCAAACCCGGGAATAGGTTACAAAGGGCAATAGGGTGAATGTCTTCATTGGATGTTTGCAAATGGTCCAGTCCTAACCAAACACAGCAATAATTTTCTTCAGTTTCATGATGATCCTAAACATCAAAAATACAAGTATTATTTACATTATTAATATGCATTAGTCATTATTTTCTTGTGTGTGTGTGTGTGTGTTTGTTTGTGTGCATTTGTGCATACATGAGTGAATGTGAATGTGTATAGGTTTGCATGTCCAAGCACTTGGAGAAAAAAGGTCAACCTTAGGAAAGTTCTTCTAGTGACTACTTTCTGTATTTTTAAGTTAAAAATACTACATATAACATGTTTTAATTGTTTGTTATGTTTGCGATTATAATTATTTCATTTTGACTTTCCTATTCTTCCCCTCAAAACCCTACTGCATACCCTTCCTTGCTCTCTTTGAAATACATTCTCTCTTCTCATAAATTGTTGTTATGAACATATATATGACATAATATATATTTTGCATGATTATATTCTTTCTTCCAACTTCACCCAGATCCTCCCACGTTCCTGTTCATCCAATTGAATGTGAATATTCTCTTTCTCAAAAAAATCACTAAGCAAAACAAAACCATTCAAACATGGAAACAAACAAAGATAAATACAATGAAACAAAAATGCAAAAGAAAACAACAATAACAGATACACAAACACACAAACATACAGAGCATGGAGTCATGGAGTCTGTTTTGTATTGGTTTACTAATTGTGAGCAGAGGGACTTCCCTGGATTGTGGTTGAGACTTTTTTAAAATAATCACCACAGATCTTCTTTTCTGTACCTCCCTAGTTTTGGAATTGAAAGGAGAAATAGGTACTTACAGACTGAACTTTCCCTCTAGCATCAGAGAATTTTCCTTCTAATTTTTAAATGAAGTTTAAAAGAAATTGAGAATATAAATAAAGGACTTTCATGCATCAAAACCAAAGAATTATGAATACAATCGCCAAGGAAGAGATGTCTCCATAGTTTCTTATGTACCAATTATCTAAGATGAGGTATATTCATGCAGGAATAGACATATTGAAAGTCTGAAAATAGCTATTTGATTATTGATATAGATTTAATCAAAAGTTGATGTGAAGGCTAGTCTCATTTCTTTCAATTTAGGGAATTTATTTCCTTGATGTGTCTGCTATACTTTGGGGATCTAATAGAGTTTCCTGATCTTTTCTGTCTTTCAAGCAAATCTGTTTTACATATTATATACATTTCCCAAATCATTAGACATGAAAAATTTCATTTAATGTGTTAAGATGCATAGGGTCCAAGCATGACTGTCATAAGGAATGTCTGCCCCACCTTGAAAGGTATTATCTAAAATTGCCATAAGATAAAATTACTTTCCATTGAGATCACTGGTATTAGGTTTCTCACTAAAGAACCTTAGAGGAGTTTGGATTTGCAAGGAGACTCTTAATAACACAACTATCAACAAATTGGATACCTAAATTTTATTCTTTCAAATGGAATATTCTAAAATTCTTTTCTCATTATAAAACTCACCTTTCAGGCAGGAGATAAGCAAATAAATGTGAAGAGCCAGCTTATCTTGCTAAGTAAGGTCTTTAATCCTTCTAGCATTTCTTGATTTTTATCCTATACATCTTTGGCTTTTGACAGTGTATTATCAGAATCTCCTGGAAGAGCAGTCACTGACGATACCAGGGGCTTCAGCAGGTATCCCAGGCATGTAAAATATTGATAACTGCTATCAGAAGATATTCTGCTTAAGCAATCATGATAGAAGATTGCTTTAAAATAAGTAACTTGCAGCATGGTAGATACATGTGGTGTTTGCACCAAATGGTATCCAATATCTACTTGTTATTAATAAATGTACAGTTTTCTAAATATCATGCACATTTTAG